AGTACACTGCTAGAGAGAAGCTGAACAATTCTCTGGGAAGCAGTGGAGACCTTTAGGGCAGCTGAAATGGAGCTGGGAGAGCTGTGACAGGCTTGGGAGTCAGAACTGGAGATGCTGATAGACTGAATATCGGAAGAGTGTAGGCCCAGCAGGAGGATGAGTTGGTGGTGACTGCTACAGTTGGCTCAAGTACCTTGTGCTAATGTCAGTCACTAAGGGAAAACAGGAGAGGCTCAAGGCTGGGAATAGGTCTTCCTTTTGATGTGGATGGCAGAGATCTGGATGATGACTGACTTCTGACTCCTTTTTCTCTGTGGCAAATAATGTTCAAAGCCAGTGGAAATGGACCATTTACAGAGGCAAATTAAAGAGAAATGGGAAAAGCTCAAGTTTGACACCCGAGGCCAGTTCTTTGGGGAAGCTGCTGGTAGAAAAGCTACTACACTTGGTGTGCCAGCCTGGCCACTGAGCACAGGGGCTGCCTTTGGTGATTTTGAATGGAAGCTGTTTGATTGGCTGGCTTTCTGGTTATCTACACTTGATTCCAGCTTCTCTTCTCCATATCCTTCCCCCTGAAGCAGGTCCCGAACAAGATATTCTCTTCTTAGTAGGTATTTTTTCCCTGATAAGACAATTTCAGCCTAAAAGCTTTGTTAATAGAAACCAAATGTGAGCTCAGACCTTCTGGTAAATCTTAATAGATGAGATACTGTACTGAAATGAGCAGCCCACAGTGGGAAGGGTTGCCTGATGAGGAAGGCGGTGTCATGATTCAGTCGGCCACATAATGAATTCTGGTTAGTGTCTGCACTTTTGGTCAAGTCTGAATGGAGTCTGTGTGCAGAGCAGCTCTGTATGCCTAAGCCTTTCCAGTTCACTCATTGTTCTCCCCAGCCCCAGCTGCTTACCCAGGAGGCGCTTGGACTTTGGGGTTTGTTTTGTTTTGTTGAGAAATTCCTGGAATAGCACAAGAGGTAAGGGAAAGCTAGAAAGTAGGTGACAAAGTTCTAGGCATGAGGACCAGCAAGCACCACCCAGATTGCAGCTGCCAGAAGCTCAGCATGGGAAGCACATTGGAAATTGACTTAACATCTGCTGGGCTCTCGGCATAGTTGGCCTAAAGTGTTCCAGCTCTGAGAATGCCTACAGGATATAGCTTGGGAGAACCTGGGAGTCACAAGAAACAGAAAACTAGTGGATATATTTACCTGCTCCCTTCTAGTCGTGGGTCAGGTCTCCATGGCCTCCTATAAATATCTTTGCTAAGGGTGTCTTCCAACCTTGACATGAGCAAGCACTGCAGCTAAGAAGGAAGAATCCGGAAATCAGAGTTGGGAGGGAGGTTTAGTCACTAGTTGCAGTGTGGAACCATGCCTTCCCTTTCTCTTCTGGATTCTTTGAATTAGTTCATTGGAAGTGACACTCTGCAGCAATATGGACTCTTTGGACCAGCCTAGGCTATGAATTCAAGTCCCTCCAACCATCCCGACCATTGGCAGGAAGGGAATGAGGAAGCAAATGGCCTGCCGGGAGGTAGATCTCAATTGGCTATATGCTGCTCATTGGAAATTTTTTTTTAAGACACTTGAGATTTGAGCACATAGGACAATATATTATTCCCGAGGCTTATTTCAGACAGAGCAAAATGAAGGTGTAGCGTGTTTGCCACAGAACCTGCCTTTCTGTAACTGAAAACTATGGTGCATATGTGTCACATCCGTTGCTCTTACCTTTTACATACATGTCCCTGTCATGTTGGGTCATGTTTTAGAGGGACACAGTCCACTCTGGCTGGAGCATGAAACAACAAGTCACATTGTATCCTCAGTCTGGAAGCAGAGTGATGCTTCTGAGGAGGGGTCTGCATGCTCTGTTCAGCCTCCATGGAAACACCCTCCCAGACACACCCACATCTGTAATTCCATCTAGTTAAGTGGAGTTCACCTAATTTCTTCACCACTGTCAGCCAGTATTTTCTTTTAGTCAGGTAGTTAAAATCCCAGATCAAGTGCTTCTCCACACGTGGCTTCCAAAGAATGGTGGTGGTGATGCAGTGCTTGTCACAGAATGCTGTCTGTCCCCTGGCATACGGTTGAACTGTCCTCAGCTCACAAACTGCTAGGCTCTTGTTTCCTCCAGCTGCTTCTGTGATAACTTTTTCTTCTATTCAGTTGTCATAGTGTAGAACCTTTTTGTTTTTGTTTTGTTTGTAGTAGGCCATTTTTGATTAAAATTAAATCTGGCAAGGTGACTCAACAAATGAAGGTACTTGCTGCCAAGCTTGACAACCTAAATTTGATCCCCAGGAACCCACATAGTAGAGGGAAAGAACCAACTCTCATAGATTACCTATATCCCCATAAATAAATATAATTAAAAATTTCAAATAATAAAATAAAATAACTCCATTAAGATCTAACCCAGAGGATTTTGTGTTGAGAACCCTGCTAAATAGCATGGCACACATACTTTGGACAGGAAGAGGGAAGAACTAACGAGCAGGGATCTTGTGATGTGGGCCAGAAAGACAGAAGATGGAGTTGGCTCCAGATTTTTTTGTTACCTTTGTGGCCTTGGGCAAACATTTTTTTTTTGAGCTCACTTTATGAAGACTTATTTTTTATGCATTATTTTTCTTGTGTAGGCACTAGGAAGACTGTCTTTATAATAAGATCCTACCCTTCCTCCAGAAAATTCTATCTTTGCCTATAGAGCTTGAGCTTTTGGTTGGTTGGAGGTGGTGACTGTTGCTGAGCCCTGGAATGCACAGCCCCTTGAATGTGGCTTTCATAGTGAGCTTCCCGTATGAGTGGTGCCACTATCCCTCCCTAACTGGATTTCAGTCACCTCTGGAGTCATCTAAAGGTGGCCCCGCTGCCTTCAGCATGCTCTATGACCTTGAGAAAGCATGAAGCATCACACTGAGCCTCAATTTCTTCGCCAAAGACATGCTTGATATACTGTGTGGACCAGAGTGGGGGGTTCAGGGCTCTGGGATCCTCCCCTGACAGATGGCCAAGAAAGAACAAAATGACCTCAGAGGGATCTCTTCCTGTCTCTGGAAGATTTTGCCCCAGATCTCTTCATGTTTCAGAAAGTCTAAGGAAAGCTAGAGAAATCCCAGGAAAAAAAACTCAAGCTCTGGCTCCAGCTTGCCTATTATCTAGGAGGCTCCACCTCTGTGGACTGGAGGAGCTGATGGTATAGTGTGCTAGGGAGGAAGGGCAGCCAGAGCTTTGCTCAGAGCCATAGAGCAGCAGTCCTGCCCTGTATGTCCCACCCCTCAAATGGAAGGAAGGAGAGATATTGGGACAGGAGTGATACCTCTAGGAAAGTAAAGGCCAAAAAGTTTGGATTGCCATTTTTACTATGTACTTCAGAGTTCTTCCAAGTTGGACAGTTGGCATCAAAATGCAGAATCTACATGTTCAGCTTCAGAGCCACACTGTGGGCATGAGAGAGGCCTACACAACAACCCTCAGGCTATTGCTTCCTGCCCAAGTCATTTCAACAAAGCAGAATACTGCTTTAAGGCACCAGTGCACCCACAGAGCAGGGATTCCTCGGGAACCAGCTGTGCCACCTCCACTGTTCATCAAGGTTCTAGACAAAGCCTCACCTGGTACTCAAGGGACCACATTTCAAGAGTTCTGAGAGTACCACCTCCCCCAACTAGATTACAGGAAAAACTATGCTTCAGGCATAAACAATCCACAGGGGTCTCCTTGCTTGGGTCAAGCGCTGTGTTTATTTCTGCAAGTATTTCTCAAGCACTGTGTCAGATGAGAGGATAGGAGTCTGCAGAGTGCTGCCTCAGGCCTGTACCATTATAACAGTGCTGGCAGGTCTTCCTGTCATCTCAGTTCCTGGCAGTTCTTTAGAAAAATAATCTCATGGCCTATGGCTACAGACTTACCCATTCCCTTTCCTTAGCCACCCTCCACCCCACCCTTTCTTTTGTCTTTTAATAAATACTATTCATTTCCCCTGAGGGGGAAAATTTTTTTGGTGTCTTAGTGGTAGATATGCTTTATGAATTTTTATTATTTGTGCACCTACCTAGACTAAAGGTTTAACTCGGCTCCTCTCTGCTGCTCCTCAGGGGTAGGGCTGGCATCCCACTCAGCTCAGAGCCTGCCGCCAGCATGAGAGCTTAAGGTTGTGGTTGTTGGAGCCTCATATGTCTCATCTCTGTTTCTCTGGGTCTGTGTCTGCAGGGCTAGAAAGTGCCCAGCAAAGGGCTGCCCATATGTGGCACACAGACGTGGTAGAGAGCAGCAATGAGTTGCTCTGTGGGAAAACTGCTCCATTTTGCTTCTGCTTCATCTGTCAGAGATGCCACCACTGGTGTCTGCTAAGCGCTTGCCAGCCCTTGCTTCTAATAGAGACGGAGTAGGCCTTGGGCTCCAGTGAGTTCAGTCAACAGTCATTGGCTAGAATGTGAGAACACTGTTCCATCTGGCTTTCATAGTTACTGTTAATTATCACACCAAATGGCAATAGAAAATAATATGGTTTGTATGATTTTATGCACATGCACACATTTGTGTGCGTGTGTGTGAGCATATGCGTGTCTTTGGAGGCTAGGAGCCAACCTTGGGTCTTCCTTAGGCACCACCCCCTTTGTTTTGTGTGACAAGGTCTCTCACTAGCCTAGAGTTCACCAACTGGGCTAGGCTCTCTGACTAGTGAGCCCCAAGTATTTCCCCAGTACTAGAATTACAGTATGTGCCACATACTGTACATGGTTTCTGAGAATTGAGCTTGGGCCCTGATACCGGTGCAGTAAGCACTTTACCAGCAGAACCATCTCCCCACCACCAGAAATTGTATGTTTTGCTATATCTATGCATGTTCAGTGTACATAGAACCCAGACAGAAGGCAGTGACCAGGCCTCACTTTACAAAGAAGAATCACAGGCTGACGTTGAAGTTTTAGGAAGAAGATGCTCACTGAGGCAGCTTTGCCAATGGCCGTTTCTCTTCTTTCTTCATTCCAGGCATGGATCCTGAAAAACTGGAGCGAATCCAGCTCCCAGTGCCAAGTGCAGTTGAGAAAACCACCTACAACCATCTGCTAGCTGAGAGACTCATCAGAATCATGAACAATGCTGCCCAACCAGGTACCCCTGTCTTAGGGGCTAGATCCCTAGCCAGGCACCATGAGCCCTAGGTTCTGGATGTGGAGAAATCTCACCCCTTTCTTTTTCCTCTAGCCACCATCATTTGTCTTTTATTGGACCCAGGACTTTATCGCTGGGGTTGTCCCTACCCTTGGTTGTAGCTCCCTCTCTCTTTTCTCTCTCTGCACCAGCCTTACTCTGCTGCTTTTGTGATGGCTGGGACCCTCCTCTCTGGGAAGCCTGAGGCCGTACTGTGGGAATGAAGTAGGCTGTGACTCAGAGTGAGGGCAACCCATTTGAAGGGTTGAGTGAAAGTACACTCTTGTGCTCAGTGTCTCCAGTGGTTTGACCCAGTACCCGTGTGCAGCCAGACTACTAAGGCAATGACAGAATGGAATGAAGCTCTAGGCACGGCTTTTCCAGCTAGGGTAACTTTTCCTTCAGGATATATGTGACTATGACTGCAGACATTTTAAGCTGAATGACTAAGAATGTTCCTGCCTCTAGTGGCTAAAAGTCCAGGACACTGCTAAATATCTCAGGTTGCACAGGACTTCTACAGCACAGAGTTACTTGGCCTGGAATGTCAATAGTTGCATGGCAAGTTCTCTACAGAGACAGGAGAAAGGTTACTAGAATGAGAGAATGCATAGGGGACAATCTGGCCACCTGCTTGCCTCAGTGGGGAAGAGTATGGTTAGAGCAGCCTGGTGTGGTAAGCCTGGACCAGGTCAACCAGAGTTGGTCAGTGGTGACTGGAGCACTATGTGGCTATGCTACCAAGTGGGAGAAGGACCTGGAAAGCCAGATCAGTGGCCTCTGGGTGACAGCAGGTATCATAGCAGTTATTCACAGAATAGATGCTTTCTGATTGTATCCTACATACCAGCTAAGAGCCACAACTCAAATCCCAAAAGCTGTCACTGTGGAGATGGGGTCTTACACTCAGAGGTCAGGACAAAATTAGCATTGGGGAACAACATGCATGGTCTGTAAAGGTCTAGATGAAGAAAGGGATGTCGTGGATTGAGCCCTTGAGACACTGTTCATACCTAGTGGTAGCAAAGAAAAAGAGATAACCTAGGACCCTGAGTAGGAGGAAAAGGGACACAGAGTGTGACTCAAGACATTGGGTACTCTTTGGGGTCAGTTATTCCTGAGAGCTCCACTTAAAGGAGGCAGAGCCTTTTCCTGGGGCTGGAGTCATGAGCAAGCTTTGCAGGGTGCAGTGGGAGCCATGTGGGTTAGGGCACTGAGGGGAGCTGAGCTATGGCCAAGAATAGGGTCTGCTCTTTGACCTGCACTTGTGAAGGCAGGAGCTTGCTGACCAGCAGAGGGAGTATGCACATAGACCTCTGGATGGAGAGGGGATGGGAGGTCTGGAGGAGGTGGGCTGGAGCTGCATTAGTAGGTAGGGACTACTTTCCCTGAGCTTTTGTCATGCTAAGCTAAGAACAAATTTTTCTTCTCATCTATTTCAACAGCACCTACAGGGCATTATTAGCAAAAGGGCTGGTATTCGGGGTATGTCCCTGGGGAGTGTGTGCTTGGGCTCCAGGGTCTAAGACCTCAGGAACAAGGCCCAGAGGTTCTCTGCTTCCTCTTTCTACTATTACACCTCTACCTTTCCTTAGATAAAGTGCAAAGACCCATGGGACAGTTTACTTAACAGTAGTTGGCCTTGCTCTGGGTGATGGGTGTCTTCCCTAGGAGGAAAGAGGTGGCTTCCAGTAGCAACCCAGAACATAGCATAGAGTCCTGAAAACATTATTTGAGACCCTGGCCTCAGCTGTACCTCAGCTCCCCCATTACCCTAACAGATTTTGTAAGTTAGCCATTGTGTTTGTGTTTGTTTGTCTCTCAGTTTCTGCTTATATAGTTTAAGCTGGTCTGGGTTGGGTTTCTGTTAACTGTGACCAAGTTGTGATGAGCTTCATGCTGTGCTAGGCCTGGAGCCTGGTGCTGTGCAAACACCCCCCCCCCCCAAGAGGAGATCTCTATAGACACCCAGCGTGCTCAAGCCATGTGGGAGGGACAGTGTCAGTAAGGGAAGGGAGGTGACTGGTGCTGGTTATCATACCCATTCATCCAGGCCCCAGTAGTGTTCCTGTCCTTGCCACACCCCAGCACATGGAGAGCCTGTGCCCAGCATTTTTTCTTGCACACTGTAAAATTGAGCCTTACTGGTTCTACTGGGCTCCTTTGCTTGTTGCTACCTGATCTTTTTGAGCAGAGATGGGAGTTCCTTGGGCACACAAACTTGGGTGGTAAATGAAAATGTGAAATAAAAAGGAGGAGGATTTTTATTTCTTGACTATCCTAAAGCACAAGGCATTTTGGGGGGGAGTGGAGGTAGAGTCAAGGGAAAATGCAGCAGAAGGTCCAGGCTGAACATGGCCAGCAAACTAAACCAGATCATAAGAGGAGAGAAAGGGAGGGGGGGTGGTAAAAGAGGAGGCTGCTGACTAAGAAAGGTGAACTGGGCCAAGAGACCAGCTTAGCCAAAATGGCTGTTATATAGGGATAGGGCTGGGGGAAAGGAAAGGAAGCCCTGCCCTTGGGAGGGAGAGGTTTAGGTAGGGGTTGGGGTGAGGAGTGCTGAGTGAGACTTGTCCTGAGTTTGAGACCTAACAGGTGATATCCTCATTCTAGAAAGGAGAGAAGGCTCAACTCCACTGAGTTACATGATCCAGAGTGGGCTGTTAGTTTTGAACCCGTACTGGAGTGGGAAACATGCTGGACAGACACAGCTACAGCACAGCCTTCCACCTTCTCCCATCTTCCCTTGTTCAGCTGATAAAGGGACTTCAGGACAGATAGGAGCTAAAAGGCTTACCAGGGCGTGTTGACTTGTAACTACTGGAAAGGGAGTTGACATGTGTAGCTCCCTCTGGGCTCCCCTGGACACAAGAAGCCTTGAGCAAGACTGTCTTTCAGGTGATGAATACCCTCAAAAAAGGAAAACAAGAGCCTTGTATCCTGGATGGGCACTGGGCTGACCTCTTGTACCTGGGGTGAGCACTAGGTTCTGGGGTACCGGGCTGACGCTGGTGTGCTCTGCAGATGGCAGGATTCGGTTGGCTACACTGGAGGTGAGCTGCCTGCTCCTGAAGCAGCAAGTACTGACCAGCTCCGGCTGCGTCATCAAGGATGTGCATCTGGCCTGTCTGGAGGTGAGTCCATGCCTTCCCTTCCTATGCTGTCCCTCAGCTGAGGAGATCATTTACGAGGCTGCTGGCACTGCCGGTTCCACAGCATCCCTCACATAGTTCAGAGAAGCTGGGCCTGAGACACCTGTGACTCCCAAGATCCTACACATGTCCAGAAATGCCTCCTTCCATCCAGACCACATTCTTGTATTGCAGTAGCTTCTTTTGGAATAATCCACTTCTGGATCAGCTCCAAAAGTTTTCATATGTTCCTTTTATGTGACAAAGCTTTTATACATGTAGAAACGTATCCACCTACCATGTTGGGTGTTTTTGTTTTAGTTTGGTTTGGTTTATTGTTTTGTGTGTGTGTGCACGTGTGGGCATGTGTGTGTGTGTGTGTGTGTGTGTGTGTGTGTGTGTGTGTGTGCTAAAATACACATTTACTAGGTTCTCAGTATCTTTTATCATCTTTTGTTCCCCTTCATTAGTTTTAGAAAATGTAGCCGGGCGGTGGTGGCGCACGCCTTTAATCCCAGCACTCGGGAGGCAGAGGCAGGTGGATCTCTGTGAGTTCGAGACCAGCCTGGTCTACAGAGTTAGTTCCAGGACAGGCTCCATAACCACAGAGAAACCCTGTCTCGAAAAAACAAAAAAAGAAAGAAAAAAAGAAAGAAAGAAAGAAAGAAAGAAAGAAA